GGGGGGGGGAGAAGGGGGAGAGACAAAGAGGGGGGAGAAGAAAGATATAAATGTTCATTGTAAATAAGAATGTCATGAAATATTAATATGAAACTCGTTTGATTCATACGTTTTAATTATATGTGCGATCATCAACACGTTGAATGTCATAGCAATCGCTGATAACTGGCATGGTATGTGATACCACTGTGTCTCGTTGAATTACGTATAAGGTATGACATAACTGTATCTAGAAAGAGAAGTGATTGATCATTAATGATAGGATCAATCCTATAAAAAAATTAATTACACGGTTAACAGAGAGCAATAATGAAACGTAAGCGATACGCGCATCTTGCGTATATCTTTCGCTCGAGTTTTGATTTCCTTCGAGTTATTTTTAGCGGTTCGATCGTAAAACTTTCGTACACGGAGAAAAAGAGACTTCTCTGGATTTGATAAAATTTCTTTAATTGAAATAAATTTGTCTCTTGAAAAGAAACAAATGAACGGATATCTGATTCAACAAATAGGATTGTTTGGTTCCTCAATAAATATCTTTACGTCAAATAATATATTTCTTTTGTATTTCCAAGCGAACACTACAATGATTATCATAAGCAATAAATTATTTGAAAGAAGTAACATTATATATTAGACAAATATTAAAGAAATTTCCTGTTTTAGTGAAACAATATTTAACATATAATGAAATAAATTCCTTTATTCGAGACTAACTATGATTTCCTTTAAATAATATTGTTTTCTCTATGAAACAACATAGTTTATTCTAGTGAAGCAACATTGTCAATCAATCAAAATGATATTTGATATTGAATTGTATCGTTTGAATTAAACAAAGCCAGGTCAAACAAACACGTATACTGAATCCAAAGAAACCTTCTTCTCTGTGTACAGTCAATGGAAATCTGCGCGACAGTAAGCGAGTCAGAACAATAAACGATCAACGTTAACGTCGCTCGCCAACTCCGTCTGCTCGCGTTTCCTCGCGCTTCGCGTTACGTGGCTTTTCACGATGCGCACGTCTGGAGAAACGGTGTGCGCGTCGTATCGTTAAAGTCTCGCGTTTAAGTCTCACCGTCGCGAATCGACAGTGGTGCGAAAATCCGTCGGTTGGCAGTCGATCAACCGGTTAATTACATAGACTAACGCGAGAATCGAGCCACGCGCTCGTAGCGGTCCGCGGGCTGCAAAAAGCCGCATCTTTTTCGCGATCCGTCAAGTAATCGTAAAGTAACTCGTAAAGCGTCGAGCGCGACGCGGTGTCGCAATTTTCAATTTCCGCCGAGACGCCTTGAGGAAACTCCGCCGGCCTGTCGCCCGTCGTGCGGCTACCTGACGAATTGACGGCCTGTTTCAATATACCGCGCCGCGTCGCCCGGAAAAATCGCCGATAAATCGCGAACGTCCCATCTGTCCCGCGGCAGCCGTGTCGGGCGTAAATCGCTCGGCGCGGCGCGGAAAAGTGTGTTACAAATGTCGCAGGGAATTTTCATCAGCGTGCCCGACGCGCTATGCGACGCGCGTTGAGACGGCGTGGTCGCACGTAATCGTGAGCGCATTTGCATGCTTCACGAAATGAAGAAAAAAACACTCGGAGGTATTCCGAGAGAAAGAAAGAGAGAGAGAAAAGAATCCAGGTAGTCGACTTTTTTCACACTCCGCGCGACTTCACAGCTAGAATTCGTCGAGATCCGTTGCGGTGGCGACTAACGACGCGTCTAAATTTGCTCGCGAGAGATTTCGACACGATCTCGCGCGGCCGCTGATCGCACCACGAGGCCGGGATTCTCGTATCACACACTCATCGAGTCAAGGTCTATCGTACGTACTTTCCTGCCAAGTGCAGACAGAAAAAAGTGCTAATTTCAGGTGAATAATTAATAATTATTCCGGTGCTCCTTGGCAAATTTCTTTACTTGGATGATTTACTTGATAAACATTTCACTTGGATTAAAGTAAATATTACTATAAATAAAAATTTGCCAATGATATTGAAGCAATAATAATATAATAATGATGATAATAATCATTATCATCATTATTATTATGAATACTTCATTGTGTACGTTAGAAATATATGTTACAGATACAATTTATATGAACAAAGATAAGTAATGCACGCAAAAGGAAAGACGCCAGTCAAGTGCTGTTATGATAAATTAACCTGAATAGATGAGATAGGAATCGCGAAACATTGAACAAATAAAGAGGGGCAAAAAGAACGGTAGATAAAACGAGAAAGAGAGAGAGAGAAAGATTATTTACTTGAATCTAGCATTTTTTACGGTGAGAACCGGTTTCCTTATTTATTTCTCTTTATGTCTCAAACTAGTTGTTTCGCGACAACATTATCGCGAAATTCAGTAGTTTCACGGTTTTTTCCAGTCGCGTAAGAATTAGATAAGATTTCTATTGATAGTCGGATTATAGCCGGAATTATACGGTGAGTCCCAAAGAAATTAATTTCACGAGACAATTACCGCCCGCTTCGGGAATTGTAAGTAACGAACGTCGCGCACGTCCATTAAAGAAAGATCACAGGTGCAGAGTGTCGTGAAACGGCGCGACGGAGTCGGAAAAATCAAGCACGCACATTTCGGCATTGGGAAAGCGTTCACGATCGCAGCCATCTCCCGCAACAATCGCGCGACGGTACGTTTATTTAAAATGTAGTCTCTCGCCTACTTGGCAATCGTTCAAAGGTCGCGTTATTGGGTCCAGCATTGTGGCGCGCTTTTACGAGCCATAGAAAATCTCCGGCTTTTACGCGACCACGTGAGGCTTGTTGGAAAGGAGAGGTCGATTGCAAAATACACTAATTGTCGCTGAAATAAGTCGCCGTACTGCAAACCAAGCTGAGACAGTTATCTCGGCTCGAAGACGTCTCTACTTATTGCGTATATGGTCAGTCACGAAAAGTCCACGACACTCTTGTCTCTAGAAATTTTCGTTCATGAAGTTAAATCGCGGATTTTCAAGTAATGCAACGAGAAATAACACGTCGCAATGAATAGATCCGAAGAGTGCAACGCGCGCTGGCGATTCTCCCGGCCTGGGATTCGTCGTCTGACGAATCGCGGTATGCGGCTACGGTTTAATTATAAGTCATTTTCCGCGGTCGTTATCAAGGATCGGGAGCCACGATATAACGCATAACGCATGATCGCGCAATTCTGCGAGAATTCCGAGTGAAAATATGCGTTTCCATTTTTACATAAAGTATATCAATCATCTTCTCTCCGAGAGGACGGGGAGACCCGATATGCGCGATCGTTCTCGAGAAGAGCAGCGCGAGAAAGCGCGCCGATATCGCGGTTTAATATCGCGCCTGTCAACGAGAAGAGTATATTTCAAGTGCTGCATGCTCACACGCAAAGCGGCATACTCGGAAAGATTGATGCAGTCGGCGAGCGGAAGAGCGAAGGTTCCTTACAATCGTGTTTATGTAGTCGAAAGGATCGAACTCCTGCTGCTCCTCGTCCGGATTCGGCGGCGGGCATGGATAGAACGCCTGCGACGGTCTAACAAAACAATATTCCAAATTCGATGAATTGTCATTTTATTTATTTATTTTTTCTCTTTTTCTCGTATTTCGTCGTTAATTCGAATTTTCGAATCGCCGGAGAATAGTTTCAATGCGGTCGCACGTCAGAAAGCAGCCGATTCGGCCGTTCGGCTTCGAAACATTCCCTCGTATCCCGTGAATTTCTCTCATACCTGTCGTGTTGCGTAACGCACTTCTGTCACTGTCGAGCGATTCTACGTTTTAGAAAATAATGCTGCGATTCTGAACAAATATATAAATGATAAAATTGTAAAATAAATCAAATATCGTAAAATTATCGAATAAATAGTAAAATTGCAAAATCGTGGATAACAAAACAATTGTGAGAACTTGAGTCGCAAAAATCGTAGATATTTACGAGAGTGATCGTACGATATACGGTACGCGTCGTAACATCGCAGATCTGCTCGTAAGTTCTGACGATTCCGCTTTGAATTCTGCAGCATAAGACGGAGGTATTGCGACGAAAGGAAATATACTCTATTGTCACTTTTGTTCTCCTCTGTGTTCTTTGTAACCAGATTTTTGCGCGTTCTCGGCTCGTTTCTGCTCGAAAAGCGCTCGGCGCTTCCTCCCGTGCTTCCTGCCGCTGAAATCAAGGGGGATCCGCGCGCGAGTGTGCGCGCGCGTGTGTGCGTGTGTACCTGTGCGGTCTGTTCCGGCGGTTTTCCTTTAATTTCGCCATTAATCTCGTGAACTCCTCCCATTCTTTGTCCACCTCCTCCTCGCTACCTTCCGGATGATGGTGTAGAGTTTCCTCCAGAAGTTCCTTCTTCGCGGGCTGGCCCGCCATTTTCGCGCTCTCCGCTCTCACAGCGGTCGACCGGACGATTTCACGGATTACACGCTCGCTCGGACGTGAAGTCGCGACGCATTTAACGCTTTACGACCTCCCCCCCGTCGGCATACTGAGCAACACGCGTTCTCGTATTTTCCGCGAACCGGAAAAGCGAATATAGAGACAGAGTCGGATTATCGTTTCCGCTTCGCCGTGCTCGATTTTTTCTTCGCGATTTAACCGATCTCTCTCGGGCAAACGCATCGAACGCGACTCGCGACTTTTCGCGCTTTTCCTTTTTTTCACGCCTGACACTCGGACACCATTGACACCGGTAGACGCTTGGGCGTCATGGAAAGTGCGAAGGAGAACCGTGCGAATTGCGAATTCGCGCGAGCGAAACAACGCGTCGCGTAGCACACGAAGCACACAGTGAGTCACACTGGCAACGAGAAGAGAGAGAACAAGCGTGCAATTCTCAGATAGGAGGCCCTATAGCTCGCTCCAATTTACGGTCTCATTAGCCTCGCCGTCGACGCGGCTGTGCGCGCACACCAGCGCGATTTTCCCCCTCGCCCAGCCGGTCACAAATTGCCGATTGTCAACGGACACCTCTACCGAGGAGCGCGCGACGAGCGCTGAAAGAGCCCCGGCCGCCTCTCCGTCGTCAAAATCGCTGATTCGAAGGGATTTTTTTCGAAATTCCAGCACGCCCGTTCGCCTCGTCGTCGACGATGAGTTCCCTGCGTTCTACGTTCGTTTCGAACTCCTCTCTCTTTCTTTATCTATCTTTCAGAGATAATTGTCCAATGAAACGTCTCGGACTCGTTGATGTAATCCGTAATTTAATTACAATCAAGTCGATGATTGGAATGCGAGTTCTCGTCCGGTAACGCGGAACGGAGGAGGCAAGTTCTCGCGGGAGTAACTTCGCGGAAAATCGAAATTCGCGAAGTCGAGCACGCCGGTGCCGATCGTGGGTGCCTCCGGTTGCCGTGTAAAACGCGATCGATTCGGTCGATCGGTGGCGAAACGCGAGAGAAAGAACGCCGGGGAAATCTTATTGGCGGCATTTCTAGTAGCGACTGTACGAAAGCCGTGTACGGCAAATTGGCCACTTCCCTCGACGAGGGCTCGTAGGAAGCTGCCTTCAAAGTCATGAGTTATCATTGACCAAAATTACCGCGTAATTTGATGGATGGCCGTCTTAACCAGCGCCGGTCCAGCGTCAACTCCGATCGATGACTCCGCCGATCCCCCGCGTTATTTTCGGACGATTACAATTACGATGACGGGGAGGGAAGAGAGAAAAAAAAGGGAAATTCACGTATTCGCGAATACACCGAGAAGATTTCTTCGGAACTAATAAATTTCATTGCATCCAAACACAAATTTCATCGTCGGCATGCTCCAAAGAAACTAATGTTTCGATTAACAAGTACGATCGTTGGAACTTTCAACGAATACGTATCTTCATCTTAAATAACAAAATTTCTTTCTGCAACAAAAGATGATTTTCTAACAAAGAAATTATTTGCCCCATTTCACATATTGATTGTAACCAAATAATATTTTATTCGGTCGAAAGATATTATTTCAAATAATAGCGTCCTTTTTCCGTTAAATGAGAGAGTTTTCTTGAAGGAGACAATAACATTTCCACTCAGACAAATAATATTTCGTGCATGTTGTTTCTATGAAACGAATTTTAGTCGAATAAATAGAAATATTCAATCTAAAGAAACCCTTTCCTCCGTATACAATATCGAGAACACGATGTACATTACGTACCTCTCTCTCTCTCTCTCTCCCTCCCTCTTTCTCTCTCTTTCCTCGCGCACAGCGGCTCGAACGTTCAGTGAATTTCGAAAGCGGCGTGTGGACAAATTTAAATGAGGGCCGAGATAACGCCTATGTATCCCCAGGAGTACTCGCGCGTTCACGCGCGCGCGCACGAAAGAGAGCCCTCGCTTCATTGTTGACCGATCAAGCCGTAAATTCGCTTGTTTGACCCACCGTCTAATTTCTACCATCGGACTGCGCGGTAAACAGATAACGCTGCGCGCCGCGATGCGCACAAAAGACCCGCCGTGCGCGAGCAAATTTGCGCTGGCGAATTAATGTCGCGCGCGCCTACGATACGCTTGCCTTCGTCACGGCTTGATAAAACTCGGAAAACGCGTTGCACATCTCGGTTGCCGAGGTGATCCGATGAAGGTAACGGGGAAAATCGAGAGCACCCGCGCTCACGGTGAAAGGATTTCGTGTTCAATTTAACACACTTGACACACGTCCCGAAAACGGTCCATCTCGGATGTTTTCGTTGATTTAACGCGAGATGAATATGTTAAGAAGCGACGTAAATAGTGCGCGAAAAATTCAAGCTCCTCGCTACTCGCTGCCGGCCGTCCTTGTTTGATGACGTCGGAAGCGAGAAAGCGCACGCCAAGAATTCTTGCGTTACACGCTCAAATAAAAGGACGTATCCACAAAATGACGTTTGCGATCGATTCGGCACATTTGTGAAATTGGACGAACACTTCTCCCCCGCTCGAACGGTCGATGATAGCCGCAAGTTTTTCATCGTGCACAATCGACTACTCTTTGACGTCGTAAGGAGAATAATCGACTGTAATTGGTCAATTTTCTTACGTCTTATTATTATAATATTATTATGATTATTATTGTAGAAAAAGGGAAATGATTTCAAGCTGTAAACTTCAAAATGACTTTAGGATACATCTCTTTGACCTCATCAGGTGTTATCAATACCTGTTTAAAGTACAAATGTCTGCGTCGACATGCCGCAGGGCACGAGCGAAGAATATGTTCTGCCTCTCGTTCCTGACTCTCGCATGCAGAGTGGGCATGGTGAGTCTTCAGCCTTCCTTATTTTATAGAGACGGCATTTTAGGAGACAATGCCCCGTTAATAGTCCAATTAACATATTTCCCTTTTGCTGAGATTGAGAATGCTTCTCTCTTCTCCGTTCTAAGCTAGCTAAAAGCTTTTGGCATGTTTCCGAGGTATCCAAAGAGTGACCTTCAGCGTTCTCACGTCTTAAGACTTACTGCTTTCGCGCATTTCCGTGTGCCATGGGGCATCTTACATCTTAACCATGTATCGCCAAAGTCGGAGGTACACGTTGAAATAAAAATCCTACAAAATCGCCAGGAACACTTCGAGGTGTGTACTTCGAATTTGGAGGTCCTACTACGCGGTGATACCTGCAAATTTGGAGGCACGCATCTCGAAATTCGAGGAACGTACTTTGACCCTGTACGTAGCCCTTGTAATTACCTAGGGCTCTTATTTCAACGTGCATCTCCGACGTTGGCGACACACGGGAATTACTCGTGCTCGCGACTGATTGTGTTGCAGAACGTTACCTGCATCTTGCGAAGCAGCCGAGCCATCGGGAGCATTTCGGCGAGCGGACGACGATGAGCGAGCGGTGGTGCAGCGGTCGCATGTTCCAAGACGAAAAGACACAAGAAACGGCGGGCGCGAGGTAGCTTATAGAAAAATCCTTCGGTGACGCGAACCGTTGACCGCAGTTAGGCGGTCCTCTACGTCATCCGGTCGACGAGAGACGTCAGAAGACGTAAGCCGAGCCGCGTTCTCCGATTACACGGAAGATTCGTTTTGATCGCACGGCGGTCATCATCGGCGAATTGATCGGCGTACGTTCGCCGAGTGCAAACCTCGCGCGAAAACCGGCCGTCGCCGAGTACGGTGGACGTTTTGCGACGGAAAGAAATCGCGCGGAGGAAATCACAGAACGCGGAACGGTTCCGCCGCTCGATCGCGGCGTTAACGAATGTATCGTTGGCGAACACGAGGCGGGGAATCACGGTGTCAATTGACCGCGCGATTCGCGGAAGGTCGCACGGAGAACAACCGAGATTAATTCTCCTTCCGAGAACGAGCCTGACCTCTCGATCGGCTTCCTAACGCGCCTAACGCGCATTTCGCATTCGCGCGAAACGAGCGGCGCGTCCTAATGAGCGATGCGTTTTTCTTCCCCTCCAGCATCCGCGTCACACTCAGACTCCCTAGGACATATTTTCGTTATTCTGTGCGTAATTTCCCCACAGCCTCGTTCTCGAAGAAGCTCGTCACCGCCGGCGGCGGATGTCTCGTATAATGGAATATTTCGATACAATCTTGCTTCTGGAAACGCCGCGACTCGTTCGAAGCTCGCTTCTCCAAAAGAGAGAGAGATGCCCTCCCTCAGAATTCTTCCTGTTTCCGCGGATTTTATCGCGTCCGCGCGATAAGATTTCTCATTTTCGCCTTTACCGCGCGGGAAGAGGAACCATTTGAAACGCTCGAAAGACAAACGCACACGCTAAGAACGAAGCGCAGCCGCTTCGTCGAGCGAACGTTACGGCCGCGTGTATTGACACGCAGGCTACATTAACGCCATGGGAACACCGCTCCCAGAACGCCACGGATGTCCCATGGGTTCCATGACCTCCTGACCAATGGTGTGTGTTAGACCGGTGAATTAGTTAATGCGAGTGGACATGGCGCGCGTACGCAATGAATTACCGCGCTCGCGCGACGCGTCAACACTGCACGACCATTGCATTTTGGACAGGATCCGTTTGTCCAATTACCGGGCCTTCCGTTCGGCTTGATCCGCGACGGAAGGCGCCGAGTCGCGCCGGCGACGGTCTCAATTCGGCGCGTTCCTCTCCCCTTCCGATTCCCACCCAAGGCGAAAGACGAAGAAATTCGACGGCTGCTTTAACGATTCTCTCAATTCGAGGTTAGTCAACCATTTAGACCGCAATGAAAAGTCGCTGTTATTAACAAAATACAGCATATTATAAAATGCTCTGTAATTGATTGTTATTTAAGGACATTATAAATATAGTTTTACTCGCTATTTTTCTTTTTTTGAAAAAATGAGGAGAAGAAATATTTAAGAAACGGAACAAGCGTATCCGGGTATTCGTGACCGTTTACGTGAATAAAGTAAGATGATTATTCCCGGGTTAAGGTTCGCACCTACTTCGATGACTTATAGACTAATAAAAACATACTTTGATGATAGTGACACTTGTTAGCTCTTTAATGGCAAGATTGTAGTCGGATTCGCATTTTTCTCGCATACATTTTATAGACGCCTACAAACAGAGAAATATCAACTCTAACGAAGTTCCGATAATTCTTGCGAAATGTTCGTAGATTTATTTTTCCGTAGAAGTGGGTCTAGGATGTCCATTATCGAGCCGTCCAGACGGAGATGCGAATAAAGAGATAGGTCTAATTAACGTCGGCTTCGGTGCCATTATCCGGCGCGCTGAAGCCGGCGATACTTTAATGAGTCACACGCAGCTCTTTACCAGCAAATCTCTCGTTTCATTAGCTCGTCGATTATGCCGGACTCAAGCAATGGATAAGCCGTGCAAATTTGACGTCGAGCTCGTCGTAACGCAACACAGTTCAATTTTTTATTTTTTCTCTCTCTCTCTCTCTCTCTCTCTCCTCCCTCAATCGCGATAACGCGCAGTAATTTCACGCAACAACATATTTTTCATTGCGAACTAATTAATTGCTCATCGCGTATCAGCCCTTCGGTCGCGCGAAGAAACGCGTTATCTCGCACGAGGCAAGATAGAGACAGCGCGCCTCGTTCTTGTCTATCCGATAATGCGGTGACAAACAAAGCGTGTCGATAACTCTTGAACCCCCTTCTTATACGCCTGTTGGCTATCGGACTGAAAAATACACGCGAATACATCGCGTCGCGTTTCGCTCTTAACCGGGCAAGAACGGCAGCTTGAATATGAATAGGTAAGAATGCGCCAATTTCTGGATAATTGAAGGTACCGTGAAAGAACAAAGATAGAGTGTGGTACAAAGATAACGTTACGCGCAATCAACGCATAAATTAAAAACCCGACTATTTTTCCGAAGTAAAAAGTGCATTAACTGAATATTATTTTCCACAATAAGTAATTAACGAGCGAAAAATTTCGTGCTAAGAGATTCTCTCTCGTGTAGCGATACGCGAGCGGAATCCGCCGAGAGGCCGGTGGTTCAGCACACGCTTGTCGACTATCGATTATCGCGATTATACGATACTCCCAAGAGAGACCTCCCCGTTTTTCCTCAAGATCATCGCGTCTCGTCTCTTTGAAGTCACTTGCGTAAGTTCTCCTTTTGGAATAAAAGTCAATGGTGATAATTGCGAGCGAGGCCTTCGCCGCGAGGAGCTCTAATTGCACCGCACGTCACGGACGCTTATGGTTCCGAACCGTCGTCGTTGGGGAGGATCCTCACGATTATTCCGAATTAATATAAATATGCATTAACGACGCGGTCAATATGTCGGCAGGCACGATTTGTCCGTTACGTAAGAGCGCTCGCGAGGAGGACGAGCGGCACGTGTATCTTAAAATTTATCGTCACGACACAGCCGGCAGCTTTGACGTTGCGATTTCTATTCGCATCTTGAACGCGACACACATGCGCGCGCGACACCACGAGGTAGGTAATCCGGTCCATCATTCAACGGGATGGAATACCAATTCTCTCCCGATGAACTTTCAAGAGAAATCCTCAGTCTACGACAGAGCACAGCAGGCCACATTCTACAATGCGCTTCGAATAATAATTCCGTCGAGAAATTACTGAAAGACGGACGATCTTTAAAGCTGAAAATGTCGCGGGAGAATAAAAAAAACGTCGGGAAATCACTTCGCTCGCTACTCTGACAAATCTTGCGATTCTAATTTTGTTATCGCGATTTCTGCAGAGAGAAAAATTAGTGACGAGCATCATGTGTAAGTCATGTGTACACGTCTGTCACACTTGTTCTCTATCCGTCTCTATCTCTCGGCTGGGATTGATAACGCCAATGAGACGCTGTGTCTGCATGTACTGTCTCTCGATAACCCTGTTTGCCATTTCCTACGTAAGAGCGAGAAAATACGAATAGAGAGAGAGAGAGAGAGGAAGAGAGAGAGAGAAAGAGAGAACGAGTGTTCTGGTCAACCACCTCGGAATCAATTGTTCAAGTTCTGGGGTAGATACATACGTGAGTACGTTGTGCGTGTATTAATAGAGAAATATGACGCATCGTCGCGTGTACAATTAAACGCAAGATATTTCCCAAAAAAGTATGAATGTACGTTGCATAATTAACACCTGTACAAAAATAACGAATTATGAATTATAACTTGTAAGAGAAATTTCAGACGCTCGGACATAATTTATACGTACATGCATATCTGGCCGATTATTAGGGACGAATGTGATGCAAAAGATATATATATATATATATATTCATATATATACATTTTTTTGCGTCTCATTTGCTCGCGATAAAAAGTAAAGTTTTATTATCAGCGACACTCGTTCATGCACAGAGACATAACGACTGTAATCGAGAAATGCGTGGACAAGTCCAAGGCCGTCGTCATCATCGACTTGCGATCAAACCGCGGCGCTGTTATGTCATCCGTTACGGGCATCGTATCCATCAAATCATCGAATTGCACACGCAAACTGACTCGTGCACGTACACATTGTGCATGCGCGAATAATCGGGGACAAAAACGTCATGGGTTTTACTTGCAAATCTCATCGACGATCTCGCCGTGCTTGAATGTACATTTTTTATTTGCACGACTGCGCGTCTTTTCCCACGTCTAAGACACAGAAAGGTGTGTCGGAGAAACCATTATTTTCTGTATAGTGAACTTTATTATCTCGTTGTAACATATTTTTAAATTCTCCTTTTCCGAGAATGTCACTATTACGTAGCGATTAGAAGGAGAGAAGAAGAGAGGGATGGAAAATTAGAGAGAGAGATTAAAAGTGTACGTGTAAATCTGTATAATCGCCATTTTTATTACCCCCGATATCGATAAAGACACAAGCTTTTCAAGTTTGGCTGCTCTTCTGCATCACACATTAATAAATTGCACAAAATAGCGCAGACTGACCGTTTATTGGTCGCCTTCATGGCTGTGTTCCAAAACCGTGGTCAAGGGTTGGGTTAACGTTTCGTTAACCAATCATGATGAAAGAAATCTTTGCTCTTTTTGTTCTGACTGGTCAATTAAATGTTAACTCGATCGTCCATTACTGTTTTAAAACGCAGACTATACAAGACATTCTCGAGAGAATGTAAAACATCGCACGTTGGCTTACCGCTAAAATAAACAACCGACGAAGAACACGAGAATACGTAGGAAACCGGGGAGGCAAGGGTAAATGATTGTAACTCGAGTAACATAAACAAGTTGCTGTACTCGTATCGAATAGAACTGCTTTAATATACAAGTTATGAGTGAAGCTATCGACGCGCGCCACCGGAAAGGTGAAGAATTAATTCTCCCGGAATTATTTCTGTTCCTTTACCTGTCCACTCGCACCTGTGGAGACTCAAGCGGACTTAGAAACGAGTTTCATCGGCTGCACGCCCATGATCTTGGCGAACTCTTCCGAGGCTTTCAGCTGATTCGGGTGATACGCGATGCCGCCTTCCCTGTCGACCTTCTCCATGTGTTGCCTCTCGGGGTCCCCGGCGACCAGGACAGGCTCCTCGCCGACGGTCGGCAAACTCCTCAGTTGTCCGAGCAAGGTCGACAGTCTCTCCTTGGAGCCCTGGGCGAACGCTTCCGGATTAATCGCCATGAAACAGTGGCCGAGATCGGCGGTGCGGTCGCTGCTCTTCCAGCTGCGGATATTCGGCCCGAACTGACTCCCGGTAAGCACCCCGCAGAGTATCTCGACCATCAGGCCCAGGCCGTAACCCTTGTAGCCGGAAGTCTGCTCGGCACCGCCGACAGGCATCATCAGCGCGGCGTCGAAGGCCTCCTGGGCATTTCGCGTCATTTTGCCCCGCGAGTCGAGCGCCCAGCCCTCGGGGATGTCCTCGTCCTTCCGAATAGCCATCTCGATCTTACCGAGCGCGACCGCGGTCGTCGCCATGTCGAGGACGAATTCGTCACCTTCGCACGCGGCCATACCCAGGGACAACGGATTCGTCCCCAAAGCGGCCTTCGCGCTGCGCGTCGGCGCCATCAGCGGGCTCGTATTGGTGCAGCTGAAGCCGATGAGACCCTGTTCCATCGCCATCATGGTGTAGTAGCCGCAAATGCCGTAGTGATTGGAGCCGCGAGCCGCCACCATGCCGATGCCGAATTTCTTCGCCTTCTCGATCGCCATTTCCATGCAATACTTGCCGATCACCTGGCCCAGCGCGTTCTCACCGTCCACGAGAGCTATCGCCTGCAAGTGACGGCGTGGTCGAGATGTTGCGGATGTGAAAGGTTTTTGTACGAAAAAAACGTCAGTTTCAGTTCAACACTCATATTCTCATATATAATCAAGGATATCTAATCTTATATGAAAATAAAACTTGCTGATATACGTAAAGAAATTTTACATAGTATTTTACATATAATTTTACTAAAAATAATAATCATATTCATATAAGGTGATATATTCTTACTTATATATGAGAACATGGATATTGAATTCTGACATTAATTTATTCCGATTCGGCGGAACTTGAGCTTGCGATTCGGCCTCGTTTACCTCTCAACACTCTCAATGATCGATCTTTTCGTTGAAAGTCAGATTTTCACCTGTCCCTCCGGGAAAGAGACGAAGAGGAGAAGGGAGGTCTAAATAATTAAAAAGCTGTCTTTTATAAATTATTTTAATTTCAATAATTTCAGAGGACATGATTAATGCTTGACTTTGTCAAGTTAAGAGATTCACGAAAAGTTAATCAGGCTTCTGAGAGACTCATGTGGCAAAATTGAGACGCGATTATAACATTAGACACGCTAAACGGCACGTATCACGCTCGATGTAGGAACGAAGTATGATAATCATCGGCATCACGCACATGAGCGCGTGTGCTTCTTGCGTTCACGATTGCTATGCCGATAAAGATACCGCATCAAATGGTAATCAGAGCCGCGTTAATTAACGTTCGAGCTCTGTCATCGGTCGGTCAGATCGTCAACGAATCCGTGTATGATGTACCCGCTAGATTTGCACACGCTCTCGATAATTCCTGCAATCTTCGCGAAGGAGGCACTATTTTCGAAAGTAATTGATACCATCCTTGATAATTTGAAGTACTCGCATTTCATCGGGCCGTCGAGCCGCCGACGGTTTCGCGCGACGTTTCGACGAGCGCCGGACTGAAGCGCACGCAAAAAGCACATATAAAGCACACACGGTGGCATTACGTGCAATTATAGTCGCTCGTACTTACGGTCGATCGGAAACGAGATAGCCGGGAGAAACAGATGAAAGACTCACGAGTGAGGGCGATAAACGGCGCCTTCTCGCCAGCGGGAGGAAAATCCGATTGATCAAAGGGACGCGTATCTCACCGGGTCATCGGTTGTTCGAGATTCGAAGGCCGCCCATGCGAGGTTTCCTCTTATGCTATTATGTACGTAAGTCGTTTTAATTATCGGAGGTGACGCGCGAACCGACGAATCGTTGAAGCACGCGAAGAAGCGCGACACGTTGCCGTCTGACGTTTCGAAATCGCCGCCGCGGTGATTTCCCGTGATCTTCGGAAAATACAAAGAAACCTGCCGATAATTCGCAAGCCTCAAGTTCCATACCGCGAAAACGCTAGTGTGCGTTGAGCTTCGACGAAGCCTTTTCATGTTCGGTACATGTGTTGAATATCAACATAAAAGTTTTTACCGTGCAGGTTTGCAGGGGAGAGACCCGGTCCGAATTATCATATTTTCTCACTTTCTTCTTTTTATTATACAGCAATTTGTCATCGGTCACAAACAGAGGCTTTTTTAGTCTAAGACAGTCATTGTGCGTTACTTAAAGACAAAGGCATAAAATATTCTTGTTTTGCGCATATAAGCCGATAAATCAGCCATTCTCTAAGGCTCTAAGGCTTCACCGAAGTCTCTCAGTGTGCTCCGAGGGGTGCGTTCAAACCTGAAAATCGGTGACGACCCGCGGTCGAGCGGCAGAATCGATGATCCTGTTCTCGATCTCGTTCACGTACATATGCATCCTGTTCATCCCGTGGCTGAAGTGGCCCCTGTAATCCGCCGTCATCAGATGATGAGCTACCACGTGTGCGTCCTCCGGTTTCGTGCCCGCCTTGCGCATGCAGTCCTCGATGAACCTGACGGCCTCGTCCTTGGGCACGACCTTCTGATCGTAGCATGCGATGGACGCCATTCTGAGTGCGGCGGTGCGCGACGTGCCTCTCACGAAAAGTCCGCAGATGCAACTGAGCGACGACTTGTGCACGACGAACAACATGTTGTCTCAGATTCTATTTGCCTCAGCCAATCGGCCTGTGATACGCTCGCTTTATCGATTCTTTCGATCTTATCTGCCATAAGCATTTACTGTGCCAACTCACCGTACTAAAATGAGTAAAACGGCTTTCAGGTTATCATCGCTTATCGTTTCACATAACAGCTTCGCCGTCGGGCAAAGCAAAGGTCAGATTCACAATCGTCTTTATTTTCGAATTCATCTTCCACAAGTCTGAGATCTGAATTTCGTCGATCGACGTCGACGTGGAATATCAACCGCGTACGTTAATTAACGCGGGAAAATTTAACGACCTTTTTTCTCCTCGCGATTTGCGCGAGGAAGGATCCTTTTTCTCGTTTTTCCTCGCTTCTTCGCCACCGAAACAGATCGTCCTCGGCTGCTTTCGGAGAGTTCCTTCGTGCTCGTCGTTTGAACTTAGCGCCGTCCACGTGGAGACGCGCAGCTGGCGCTACAGCTGGCCGAGATACTGGTTGCGTGCGAGCGGGCTCGCGATCGCGGCATTATTCGATCCGACGATCACCGCTCGCTGGGATTCATTCAGCTTCGCGACGGCACGACTTTAACCTCGCACGACGGAACCAGGCGGAAGAAGCGCGCGCGTTTCTCGCGCTCCGGCGAAATGATACCTTTTGCACGCTCGTTTTCGCAAAGATAACGTACGACGACGTCCCACGTGCCGCGTGTTCGCTCGGTCGACATTACCGTCTCCTCATGAGACGCTGATGAAGCCGGTGACTTTAACAAGCTGTCTCGGCGGGAGCTTTGAATCACCGCCGGCGAAGTTATCGGCTCGAAGTAATCGGCGATGTTTTCAGTAATATTCATTCAACTGATTACACAAGTCGCCGGTTTCTCGAAGCTTCTTCGTCGCTCGAATTGTATGTAAATGTTCCCAGCAAAAATGATTCATCGAATCGACGGATTGATTGGACGATATAATATCGATTGTTTCGACGCCGGCGTCGATTTGACGTCGATTCGATTCTCTCGCATCCTCCGAAGCTACTCGAAGCAGATCATTTGCGGTATTAAATATGCAAGTAATTCCTTCGACGAGCGAGAACGAAGGAGAGAAGCAGAAACGACACGCAAGCTCGGTTACATAAGAAGACATGCATATTATCCGCGAGATATACACGAACTCTTTGGACGCGATCCACCCACATCGGTCGCCGATCGCGCATGCGATCGTGTTACTCGCGGAACGCAGGTTTGTTATTATGCAATCGCGCTGATATCCGAGATACGAGAAAAAAACAAGTCTCCGATGAGCTTCTGAAGAGCGATCGTTGTTGCGAGCGGCCGTTTTTCTTGCGAAGTGAAAGCTCCGGCTTCCCCGGGGTTCGCAAAATCGACGAACTGCCGCGCACGGTGTGTAACGGCGCGATTTTTTCAATCGATTATAATTGCGAATTGTGTCACAATCCGCGGGCAGGAGAAAGGATCTCGCGCGAGCCGCAACCTTCCGCGCGAGAATTCTTCCGTTTTTCAAGTTGTAGACCGACACGGTCTATCTGGATGGAAGCGGAATACATATCGCGGGATTACGCTCGGCGGTTACGCTTCGCTCGCGCAAAATATTTGTGCGAGATAAAAAGGACGATTCCTTTCGGATAATTCCGACGACGACGACGATGATGCGACGACAAGCGCGTAATCCCCGCGGATGGCTCTCCGCTTCGTTTTCGAGCAGAACTTCCTCGGTGACAAGCCGAATTTCTGCAATTTTTAAAAAGAGAAAAAGGCGATATTCCAGGCCCCGCGGCGTTTTCGTAAAATTATCGGCATTGTAGAAACGTGTAAGCGCGTAAGCGTATTGTAGAAACGTGTAATCGCGTAAGCGCACAAGGACGCGCGGTGTGTTATCGTGTTGCCTAATTGCCGCGATAATAATTGCCTTATTGTACAGCTTGAATTCAAGAATGATTTCGTTTGCCCAAACGTCACTACTCGGGAGTATTAGCGCGCATTTATCGGTGTTAGACGACGGACACACTTATCGTTGGGTAACGTTAGCAAATTGGAGCAGGAGGAAGTATGAGTTTGCAGCTCGCTGTGATTTTAATTATGGATCTAATCGGTGAGGCGATTAGATCGCTTAGAGTGTAATCGACAGTGGAAGTTCCGATACGCACACATCGGCTGTTATATAATTGCGCGTGCAATATAATAATCAATATAATAATTCTAATTATTTCCCTCCACGTGTTCTCTCTCTCTCTCTCTCTCTCTCTCTCTCTCTCTCCTTCTATTTACACTTTATTTAATTAGAGAGAAGCGGTATTTATACATAGAGGAAAAGGTTCCTTTATATTTAGTATACGTTTATATATTTAGTATATGTTTATATATTTATTTTATATATTTAGTATATGTATTTGTTTGGCTTGGGTTTGTTTAACATATAAACAACACAATTTAATGTCAAATATAATTTTGTTTGAATGAAAATGTTGTTGCTTCACTAGAATAACCATGTTGTTTGATGGAAAATACAATATTATTTGGAAGAAATACTTTGTTTTCAATTAAAAAAAAAGTTATTTCATTATATATTAAATATATTGTCTCACCGAAACAAAAAAAGTTCTAATATTTTTGTAGTATAGTATTAATTCTTTTAAATAATCTATTGCTTGTAACAACCATTGTAATATGTCGATGAAAAAAAAATACGAAAGAAATATGTCACTTGACGTAGAGATATCTATTGTTTGAGAAACCAAACGATCCTGTTTGTTGAATCAAACTTTCGTTTTTCTGCTTTACTTCAAAAGACAAATTTCCTTCAGTTGACGAAGTCTTACTAAATCCAATGAAATTGTTGTCCCTGTTCATAAAACTTGGATTATACATCGTATTGCCTGCAAAGAGAACACGCGAACGTGTTGGCCGTGGTCAAACCCCGCGCGTATCTCACGTCAAGTTCAAATTGAGGCGGCTTACCGACAATTCACATATTCTGCACTGCGCATTTGCGGTTACGTCATAAATATTTATTTTTATAAACATGGCGATAAGGAGTTACAACGGACGTACGACGGTCGTGCACCGCCACGTAGGTAAAAGACTTGCCGATTATCGATAGTGCGCCACGCGAAACGTCGACGGCCGCCTCGAAAGAAACGAAGTTATCTCACTAGTTCGATCGGGTATCACCGGCCTCCAAACAAAGTAATTTGCGATTACAAAATTGCGAATAATCGAGACAGCGGAAGAGTGCGAACAGCATGATGCATGACGGCAGTCATCGTTTTCAATTCATCGCGGATCATATGTATCAGCGATCATTAGACGCTTATTAAATCGCGATCGTAATTGAAACTATCGCGACGCTATCAAAAGTAACTCACGTGAGTCCCTCCGATAACGAATATTTTGACTGGCAGCGCGTAGTACCGAGGGGAACAAGAATTTATGGCGTGCATTAATCACCGGTAACAACGTTTAATTATAAACACACATTACGGAGGATCACGTCGCGTAGTTCACGTGAGCCATAAATCGTAAATGCCAAATTTTAATCGATCATGACGCGACTTGTAATTATTCAAGTGGCGATCACGTGCGAGATCTAATGATACACGCGTCGAAGATGTGCGTGCGTGACGTGCATGAAAATACGAATAGACAGAATACGGCTGGGAAGTGCACCTCACTAGCTGCAGGTGGGGAAAGAGAACGGAAAGAAAGTGAGAGAAGAGAAAACGCGCAGCCAATCCGTCCGTCTTTTGAAATCCACGAGCGATGCGTCTTTTTCTTCCTCTCTTTTTCTTTTGTTCCGCGAGAGAATACGATTTTCCAATTTCGTTTCTCGCAATGCGTCCCGCGCCTTTCACACAGAAGACGATTTTCGCGTTTTTTTTCTGGAAATAATACCCGTGATGCAACAGACCGAGGACGAGAAAACAGCCGAATTATCTCTCAAGTACGTGGTTTATGAAATTTTCCTAAACGTATTCCGCGAAAACTGCATGCAATCCCACACGAGAACGCTGTTCTCTCTAACGAATGTAATAAAAAAAAGGATTACTCCTGGCGCGGGTGAGCGCGTGCTTGCAATTTTGCGGCGGCCGGCGAATTACATTAGCGAATAATTGCGTATTCCTACGTGATTTGCACAGAAATTCCACGATTTTTCGCGTAGGATCGCTCGACATACAGACGCGTGTAAATTATTAAAATAAAACTCTAATATTGTTTTACTTATCTGTAAGATCGCATTATATTTTCAATTGGAATATATTTTTGCAAGATTTTCTCATATTTAGGATTTACAGATCCATATTATAAATGAAAATTTTATTTAAAACTTACGGAATTTCTCTTTCGCAAATTATTCCTGTTGCCAGCGTTACTTGGCAATACTAATATATATTATTGCGTTGTTTACATTTATTCTTCTGATAATTGCTGTCTTTATTCTATAACGTTTTTAAGTTTTGTTTATATGAATTGAGTATCTTTTAAATCACTTATCGATCGATAAGATTTACTTGACCTTCGTTTTTCAATAATTAAATTAATAACGTTTTTTCTTAATTAGATCGACGTAGATGATTCGTAAGAAATATTGAAATATTTTTAATGAAGAATAGATTAAAACATATTCAAATAAAAAATATAATTCTTAATTTTGTTATCATCATAGTATCTAAAGGCACACGGCAAACCGAGTAGTTTCCAATTCTCTCTCTCTTCATTTCTATACTTGAAATATTATAATTTCGTATCTATCTATGTAATTTACATACGTGATATTTGTTATATACTTATATAGTTTTCCTCATCGCGTTTTTGCTGCATGGTTGCCTTTAGAGCTATTTTTATTTCGCGAAAAGTGAAGTATTTGCTGGAATACCGAGGAAACCGACGAGAAAGAAGTACACCCGCGGCGCGAAGTATTGCGCGATCGAGGAGGAAGCAGGTATGAAGGATCTACGTATGCGAAAAATTTCGCGCGTGACGCACACACCGGCGCGCGCGGTCGGCACGATGACGTCGCTCAGAATTACGCGATCGCATTACGGGGTGATTCTTCGGTGATTCTTGCTCGAGCCGAGGCCACGACGCATTGTCCTTCTCGACACGGAAAGCCTGAAAATCCCGGGCGGACTTGGCAGGCGTGCAGGTGCGCCGGTTTTTCAGTGTTTGCGTTGGTGTGAGCGCGGCGAGTGATCTCGCGCGGAAATCTTCGGCCGGTGACGCGTTGCAAAATCGCGCGAGGAGTACAAAGCGACGAGAGCAGATGGAAATAGAGCCGTTGGCTAAATTGCCGTGTCGGGAAAATCGATCGACGCCGGCTCGATCGCGTCTGATCTACCGAACGGATTCGGACGGAATGACTTATCCGAAAGTCGAAATTTTATTCCTAATTTAAACCTAATTTAGTTCTATATTAAGTGTCCAAAGGTCTTCTATTGTCCTCCTTTGGCGCCACAAGTGGGAAATTATTTCTGTTTTCTCCGCTTGAAGACTTCACGTAGAATTGAGAATTTCGACTCAGCTCAACTTCAGTTGGAACGTTGAGACTACGAAAATATGGACGAGAATATAATCATGATGCATATTTACGTTTCAACCTTGAAATTAACAAACCATACCCTATTTAAATATGACGTAATGGGCGGTAATCGTATTTGCGCGCGAGTAGAAGGATCGGGCGATGTTT